GTTGACAACACAACATACATATATCGTTTCTCAGTATTGATATGCATTTTCTAATTTATTTATGGCCCTTTATTATTATTATTATTATTAATATATTTTCGCCCCCCAGGCCCTCATGTGGGTCATTGACCTGTGCCCTGGTGGACTAATCCCGTAAAAAAAAATAAATAAAAATATTAAGGAATAAACATCTCTCTTCCCAACAGGCCGGGATCTTACAGCCAGAGTTCACCTGCTGTGGAATTTGCTTAGGCATCTGCTTCTTCCCGATCGGTCTTCTCTGCTGTTTTGTCATGAGGGAACGTCGCTGCAGCAACTGTAGGGCTGTGTATGCTTAAGATATTCCTGAAGACACCAGGGGTCGATATTTACCTCTTCCTGTTGATTATTCACCTCCTTCTGTTGAATAGCTACCCCTCCTGTTAAATATCTACCCCTCCTGTTAAATATCTACCCATCCTGTTATATATCTACCCATCCTGTTAAATATCTACTCCCCCTGTTAAAAATCTACCCCTCCTGTTAAATATCTACCCCTCCTGTTAAATATCTACCTCTCCTGTTAAATATCTACCCCTCCTGTTAAATATCTACCCCTCCTGTTATATATCTACTCCCCCTGTTAAAAATCTACCCCTCCTGTTAAATATCTACCCCTTCTGTTAAATATCTACCCCTCCTGTTGGTGTTCTGGAGCGATGTATCAAGACTTGGAGTTCCTTTTAAGACCATTTTTACCAGAAACTCCCTGAGGACGGTAATAGCAAGGAACATAATTAACTTCCTTCAACATAATATTTACACGCTGTTCCGTATCTATCTTCCCCATCTCTCTGTGGACATGTGCCCCCCATTTTACCTGGGAATTTATTGCAACTTAACCTAACCTAACCCTATATAATCTAATATAGCCTGATCTAAACTAACCTAACTTATGATTGTGTTGTTGTATTGTGAACTCTGATTACTGGGATGACTATTATTAAAGTGAAGAAACATTGCATATGGCTTTTATTTTCATCTTTTATTTCACTAAATCACTAATAAGAGAAGACAAAATAAACGGTACAGAATAATACACATTACCAGCAGCAGGGAAGTAGTTACCACACTTACCGGGGAGGTCTGTTTCTACATCAATAGTAGGCAAATTACTGGAAGCAATCATTTCAAACTCTATTCGAAATCACCTGGAGAAGCACCAATTGATCAATGATTCCCAGCATGGCTTCACAAGCGGGCGTTCATGTCTAACTAATCTATTAACATTCTTTTCATCAGTTTTCGAATCGATGGACGAGGGGCACGACTATGATGTGGTATATCTCGACTTTAGCAAAGCCTTCGACAGAATCCCCCAAGAAAGACTAATTAGAAAGGTAGAAGCACATGGCATCAAAGGTGACATCCTTAAATGGATTAGGGCGTGGTTACAGGACAGGAAACAGCGAGTGAGCATTAACGGCACTAAATCTCATTGGAGCAACGTCACAAGTGGAGTTCCCCAAGTCTCAGTACTTGGACCATTATTATTTATGATATACATAAACGACATAGATATCGGCATAGACAGCAACATAAGTAAAGTTGCTGATGACACTAAAACAGGACGTGTTAATTAAATCTGACGAGGACTCCGCAAAACTACAGGAAGATCTAAACAAATTTTTCGAATGGTCTGAAAAATGGCAGATGAAATTCAACGTGGACAAATGTAAAGTACTCAGTATAGGAGATGTAAACAGGGAAACCAGTTACCAGATGAACAACGATGCCATTGAGAAATCCGACTGCGAGAGAGATTTAGGAGTAATGATAAGTAGGAACCTTAAGCCAAGTAAACAATGTGATTTTGCTCGTAACAAGGCTAATAAAGTACTTGGGTTCATACAAAGGAGTGTTAGTTACAAGACTAGCGAGGTCATCCTAAAACTGTATCTTGCTCTTGTGAGACCACACCTGGATTATGCAGTTCAGTTCTGGTCACCGTATTACAGAATGGATATAGAATCCTTGGAAAGAATTCAGAGGAGAATGACAAGACTAATCCCGGGCATTAGGAACCTTGAGTATAGAGACAGGTTAAAGCATCTTAATTTGCACTCCTCAGGACTGCCCAGTATGGGCCAATAGGCCCACTGCAGTTTCCTCCATTCTTATGTTCTTATAGAAGAATTAACACATGACCCCATCTACAAAGTTATATATAAAGCCAATATTATAATATCAGAAATGTATCAATAAATTTGTTTTACCGAGACACAAAAAATTATACACATTCAAAGTCTTTATCATTCACCATTGGTAAGGTAGAATGATAGCACCTTCCGTGTGTTCCTTCTACTGTAAACCTTATATGTCCAGGCTAGAAAATACAGTAAGACATGCTTCAATAATCCAAATTTCATGTCGTGTGAACTGAGAGCATCGTTAAATAAGAACCAGTTTGTTGTTTTGTACTTACACTCAAAACCTGAAACTGTCACAGGAAACTGACCTCACCTCTGATCACATAACCCAAAGCTGTACTGATATAGAGGCCCATACACACGACCAGAAGCTTAATCCATCAAGCTTCACTATTTACGTAACTAATGCTCATAGGCAACTTTCTGGGGTATAGCTTAATTTTACATAAAGAACATATTATTAACAATATCTTTTCAATAGGTCTCAACGATTATTAATTGCTAATTTTGCTTAACCAATTCTCTAAAGTGTTTCTACATCTTCAGTACCAACACAGCTAATGCTACATACTGAATTACATACAGAATTTGTCCACTTACAAATCTTGCTTTTAGGAATTATAAAGGGGCTTACTAAAGCCTAAGGAAGGAAGAATATTCCCTTAACACATAATCAATGTTATTTACATAATATCTGGCCAGTATGGGGAGGATCATCGTGTCTCCGTCAGGGGGTCGTGGAGTGGTGGTCCAGCAGGCGTCACGGAAGCGTTGTGTGTGGCGACATCTTAGGAGGTAGTGGATAAGGGTGCGGCTGTCGGGTCTTCTGCATAATGCACAAGAGCGTTGCTCAGGGGATGCGGGGATACCAATCTCCCAAGCAAAGTCATACCCAATGATGATACGGGCAGCAATCACGTCCTCTTTCCGTGACCCTTTCCCATAGACATACGAGAGGTCAGGAAGTTTACGGAGGACATCGTACCAGGTGGGCGGGGAGTCCAGGGGATGTGTATATATATATATATATATATATATATATATATATATATATATATATATATATATATATATATATATATATATATATATATATATATATATATATATATATATATATATATATATATATGAACAATTATGTTCCTTAAATAAGGGTCTAGGTGGTAGATAAAATATAAGTTAAGAAGACACCAACAGGTGTCAGGCTCGTAGACGTTGGAGTTGTTTTTGCAAGAACATAAACAAACAGACGACACGAAGCTGACGGTGGAGACATCTGCAGGGGAGCTTGTTCATTACTAGGGAACAACTGGGAGTCCATAGAAGAACTAGTTCCTCTCTGTATCTTCCTTGGTGACAGACGACGTGCGCAGTGCGCATGTTGTCAACATAGACTGTGTGTGAGTGAGCGCTTCCTACAATTCCCATTTTTGACGAATATAGTGAGTCGACTCCCTCTAGTCTGTACAGAAAACTACAGTAAGACCCAGTTGCCATCACAGTGTCACTTGTGAAATTTCAAGTTTTTCGACTTAGAATTTGGGATAAAATATCTGGACTTTCTACCTGGACCCTCTGGTTAGGTGTTTTCGCGTCTGCGCATGCGCAGTGAAGAGTGTGACATGGTAGTGACCTCTTACCCTCCCCATCTCGCCTGTGCCCTTACAAGTCAAATTACCCAACCACCCTCCAACACCTCTGCGACGCTGATTGACGCCACCGTCGTGGTGTCCAGGGGCGTTATGGAGTACTCCGGACCCGTCACCCTTGCCGACCTGGAGGATATGCCACCCGGGGAAGCTTGGCCCCTCCTGTGTTGTGAAGTTCGACCTCAGTCACGGTCACTGCCAGGTGGACAGGTCAGTTTATTTAGGTAAAATTGCTTTAATTGGTTGAGATACACTCGTGTAAAGTGACCCAGAATTGGTCAACCTGACATAAACCTTTACAATTGTGAGAATTAATGTTTATTCATTCACGTGAGTAAGACGACCCGATATAACATGTACTGTACAATACGGTACGTTTATTCGAAGGAATAAATATTGATGCAGGACTTAACTGGTAGAAAATTATAATGAATCAGACGTCACAGGATTATAGTTAAGTTTTGAGGGACTATTGTGAGGTGACGTCACTGACATTGTGTGCGCGTGCGAGCGTGTGTATGTGTGCGTGTGTGAAAACAATACTGATTTCCTTACATACATAAAGTTACCATAGACTGTCTTTATTTACTCAAATGTTCCAGACTCAGTTTATGTTCATTTTATGTAATATAACACATTAACATAACTGACATAATTCAAGACCAAAGATAGCCATATTTAGTCAAGATTACCTGTTAATTACTTGACCCCCAGATATATATTAGTTTGTCAATAAAAACTGATAATAACGTTTTAGAATTTATTACATTTAATTTAAAAGGTAATGTGGGGAGTGACATCATGAGGTCAACAGATACTCATTATAATTTTAGGGAGGGGGGGAGGGGGGGGGGGCTGGATTATAGGATTATTTTTCAGGTTCCTCGTCATCACTTACCTGGATTATAAGATTAGCGACATAAAGATAATCATCTTGTTATCTTGGTGAGACAAAATGGTGCTTTTGTCCATCACGTGACGACCACATTGTCAACATCACACCATAGTGACTTCCTGGTGATGTGTGTGATGTTATGCTACCTTCATGGTGGCGTGTGATGTTATGCTGCCTTCCTGGTGATGTGTGTGATGTTATGCTACCTTCATGTTGATGCACCATTGATGTACCTTCTCTAATAAGCTAAAAAAAATTGCAGCATTGATGATACTCCTTTATTTAACAAAATGGACCAATGATGTAGCTGTTCTCTTGACCATAACAAACACACCGCTGCCACCATTTAGAGGGGTAATGGTTGTGAACAGTTGCCGAGATCTTCTGGGTCTAATGCGTAAACAGGAACATTGGAATTGGCACACAGGAAGTTGTCAAAACAGCTTAAGATGGCTGAGTCGTCTATTATCCACATGATATCACAGTCACACACAATCGCGTTCCCTGTCGGATAAAATGATGTTAGTTTAGTTTGGTCTGGTCTGGCTTGGGATGGTTTGGTTAGGTTAGGCACAAATTAGTCATGAACTGGTTCCATACATATACCTACTGTAGAACTAGTATTAGAAAGGAGTCTAGTTGTAATGTATGTTAATTTAGTCAAAATTTCCATTGTAATGTGTTCATATATTTTTTTTTGTTTCAGGCAAATAACACTGATTGTGCATGAATGGAGTGAAGAGGGAGAAGGAAAAGAGAAAGAAGAAATGGAAGAAGAAGAGGAGGATGAAGAGGAAGAAGAAGAAGAAGAAGAAGAAGAAACTAAGGTAAATGACCCTTCGTTTTCTGTCATCTACTGGTTGTCTCTCTCTCTCTCTCATTTGGTGTAAATTTACTATAATAGCGAAATGAGAGAAGAAATGATAACTAGAATCCTTTTAAAACAATTACTTGATGGGAAACATAATTCTGATTAGAGAGAAATTGATGAAAAGGATTTAGTGTGTAACTGTAAATTGAATACCGAGTCGTAAATCGGATAGTCATCGTAAATCGGACAGTGCATCAATCTAAATCAAATATTGAGTTATCATAAATTGGATTATCATCATAAATCGGATAATGAGTTGTTGTAAATCCGATATAAAATTACCATAAATCAGAGAAGTGAGTTGTCGTCAATTGAACAGTCGTCTTTAAATCGGACAGTAAGCCATTGTAAATCGGATACAGGGGGTGTATTATCGTAAATCGGATAGTAACTCGCCATAAGATAAACAAAACAACCAGATGAATGAAATTTAAGAAGATAAAAATGCCGAGAACTTAACCAACACTTAAAAACGAACCATCAAAGGTAAAGTAGACATGAAACTGGCTGTCGATGATGATGGGATGAAATATTTTCTCTGAGATGGTCATGAGTTGGTTGTCCTTGAGGAAGATCTGGAGGTTACGTAGCCCACCGAACGCTTTCTCACTGTAACAACACCACCACCATCAGTTTATCATCATCATGGCTACTGTATTTATGGATTACCTGATGATTAGGCACCTTGGTTTATGACGATTAATGAATTGCCTTATTGCTACCTGAAGAGGGTTAGGTTAGGGTAGTGTTAGGGTGATTGATCTTCAGGTGTAAATATACTGGGATGTCTAATCTTCAGGTGATCCGTATTTATGATATATGCTTAAAGATCTTAGTTGTTAAAGAGCAGTAAAACATTATAACACCAATAAACAAAGATGTAGTTTGTTTTTTGAGGTCAAACTTACGACTTAAAAGTAACATAATTATTAGTAACATGAGATTAGGTTTTTTCACTTAATCATATGTTATTAAATACCTGTAAAACACCTGTGACAAATCTTCCGGTTTATATTGTATATATATTTTGCGTATGTTAGGTCGAGTTATTCAGCTAAGATAAGTTTTTTTTTTACATTTCATTAATTTTACAATGAACCTAACCTAACCTAACATAGCTTAACAATATCTTAACCCAAACTAACCTATACACAACATAAAACAGAATATTTTTCACAAGTACAAGGCGAAATTCACCTCCGGGACTATTATAGGGTATTGGCGAGTAGGGTTAAAACCGAGATAAGGAAAGCAAAGAGGAATAATGAGGTAAGGATAGCAAGGGAGGCGAAGACAAACCCCAAAGGATTCTACCAAATGTATCAAACTAAAACACGAGAAAAGATTGGACCAATACGGTCAGACTCCGGCGAGCTCACTGATAACGATGGAGAAATGAGCAATAATTTGAATAAATATTTTTCAACAGTTTTCACCACCGAAAATTTAAACATGATACCCGAGGCACCGACTCTATTCAGAGATAGTGAAGAAAACAAATTAAGCGAGATAGTAGTGACTAGTAACGATGTTAGTAAGCAAATAGACAAACTAAAGCCTAATAAGTCACCTGGTCCCGATGAGATATTTGCCAGAGTATTAAAGGAATGTAAGGAAGAGCTTAGTATTCCCTTAGCAAAGTTGTTTAACATGTCCTTAAAAACAGGTGTAGTACCAGAATCCTGGAGGATAGCGAATGTAATACCGATTTTCAAGAAGGGGGATAGATCACTATCCTCTAACTACCGCCCAATCAGTCTAACATCAATAGTAGGCAAATTACTGGAAGCAATCATTTCAAACTCTATTCGAAATCACCTGGAGAAGCACCGATTGATCAATGATTCCCAGCATGGCTTCACAAGCGGACGTTCTTGTCTAACTAATCTATTAACATTCTTTTCATCAGTTTTCGAATCGGTGGACGAGGGGCACAATTATGATGTGGTTTATCTCGACTTTAGCAAGCCTTCGCACAGACATCCTTAAATGGATTAGGGCCAGGACAGGAAACACGAGTGAGCATTAACGGCACTAAGTCCCATTGGAGCAACGTCACAAGTGGAGTTCCCCAAGGCTCAGTACTTGGACCATTATTATTTATTATATACATAAACGACATAGATATCGGCATAGACAGCAACATAAGTAAATTTGCTGATGACACTAAAATAGGACGTGTTATTAAATCTGACGAGGACTCAGCAAAACTACAGGAAGATCTAAACAAATTTTTCGAATGGTCTGAAAAATGGCAGATGAAATTCAACGTGGACAAATGTAAAGTACTCAGTATAGGAGATGTAAACAGGGAAACCAGATACCAGATGAACTACGATGCCATAGAGAAATCCGACTGCGAGAGAGATTTAGGAGTAATGATAAGTAGGAACCTTAAGCCAAGTAAACAATGTGTTTTTGCTCGTAACAAGGCTAATAAAGTACTTGGGTTCATACAAAGGAGTGTTAGTTACAAGACTAGCGAGGTCATCCTAAAACTGTATCTTGCTCTTGTGAGACCACACCTGGATTACGCAGTTCAGTTCTGGTCACCGTATTACAGAATGGATATAGAATCCTTGGAAAGAATTCAGAGGAGAATGACAAGACTAATCCCGGGCATTAGGAACCTTGAGTATAGAGACAGGTTAAAGCATCTTAATTTGCACTCCCTCGAGAGACGTAGAGCGAGGGGCGACCTGATAGAGGTGTACAAGTGGAAGGCAGGGCTAAACAAAGGGGACATTACAAAGGTACTCAAACTATCCAACCAGGAGCGAACTCGTAACAATGGTTTTAAATTAGACAAATTTAGATTTAGGCGGGAAATAGGTAAACACTGGTTTGGAAACAGAGTAGTGGATGAATGGAACAAGTTACCAAATATCATCATTAACTCGAATACGCTGAATAGCTTCAAACATAGGTTGGATGCTTATATGAGCAATAGGGGTTGGGTGTAAACGGGACTGCCCAGTATGGGCCAATAGGCCCGATGCAGTTTCCTCCATTCTTATGTTCTTATGTTATCTGATAAATTTCTCGTACTGTAACATAAATATCAACACAGAAGTGGGTATGACAGTGAAGGAGAAAGGGGAAGCAGACGACAACTGACTTGATATAAGATATTTTGTTAGATGAGAGATCTATGGTGAGGTAGTTGACGGGATTATGGTTAAAGAAGTGGAAACAATCCTCGTCGATGCTCGTCAGAAGGTTGCGATTGAGGTACAGGTACTGAAGATTATCCAGTGCTGTAGAATAAACCAAAATTATTTATATTAATTTCTCTCAAACATCCTTTCTTCATCTTCTACAATATTTAATCGATATTAGACTCTACTCTACATCTACTTTCACCATATCTACAGTATAATATGACACATCTACTATTCCTGTTTGATCACTTGCGTCTGAGATATCTGAATCCTTTGAGTGGCGCCCCCATCAAATCTGACGGCAACAGTTATAACTAGAGATAGATCTTGCTTATGTTTATAGTCAAATAAATTTACAGAATGTGAGTAGATTGCTAAAAATTACTCATACTAAGAGAGTTAATAAAAAGCAACAACAGAGGCATTTATTAATTACGGGTATAATTACTGAGGTTACTCTTATAAACAGGTTATACAATAATGTGTCCTTAACTCTTGCTGTGAGATAACTTTTTTGTACAACACTCAGACATTCTACCACTCTCTCTCTCTCAAAACACTCATTCTCCCTCTCCAAACACTCATTCTCCCTCTCCAAACACTCACTCTCCCTCTCCAAACACTCACTCTCCCACTCCCTCCCTCTCTGCTCCTTTATAATTTACACTACCTGCAAAAGCGTTCTTGCCGATGGTATCAATGATGTTGGAGGAGAGGTCAAGTACCCCGAGGGAGGAGTAGTTGAAGGCGTTGGTGAAGATAATAGGGATGCGGTTCCTCTTGAGCACCAAGGTAGACAGTTTAGGCAGGTCATCTATCCCTGACGTCACGTAGTAGCTGATGAGGTTGTTATCTGTGTGTGTAGGGGAAGAGGGTCGTTTATGTCTTAGGAGGATCACTTGAGACAGTATCATTAACATTACTTGGGAAATTCTCTGTATTGACAACATCTTGGGAGGAAATCTAGGTGTTAGGAGAAGTCGGCCCCAGGAGGAGTCGGCCCCAGGAGAGCCAGGCCCCAGGAGAGCCAGGCCCCAGGAGAGCCAGGCCCCAGGAGAGGCTCTTAAAGGGTTAGGCCCCGTAATTGACCTAAACCCACCGAGGCTCAATATGATGGTGGGAGGAACTTGATATTTTCCAACGTGTCACATTAGGTCAAGTACTGTTTATAGTTAATTGTCTGACCTTCCCATCCAGGACAGGTAACATGGAATACAACCAGAGGTCAAACTCAAGTGAGGTCAGGTCATTAGAATAAACTTCACACTATTAGACCCATACCTGTTCATATAGAGGTCAGAATCTCCACGAGTCCCAGTTTGGATAGGGCCAAGTTCACCTGTGTCTAAAGTACGATTTTTAATTAAGGATAATCACCTGAATATTATCCCTCAGTTTATTTCACTTTTAGATTAACCATCCTAATGCTAACCGAACCCAACCCAACCTGCCCCAACCCAATTTAACCTAACCTAATGCTAGTCTAATCTACTCTAACTCAACCCAACCATAAACTAACCAAACGTTCTCAGGTAGGGTTAAGTGACCCATTAATTAGAAGAGGTGAGGGGAGGATTGCATAAGGATGATTAAGTATGAGTTTGCACGTCCTGACAAACCTTGACGCTCAGAACATTACTAACCAAGATTAAGGAACGTGAGAGTACTGGCTGAGCTGTTAAATGCCTTGTTGTCGACATGGGTGATCTTGTTGTCCATGATCAGCACCTGAGTAAACTGAAGGTCTCCCCATAGCTCCTGGCTTAACACCCCGCTCATGTTGGATCCTTGTAGAGTGAACCTGAGAACACCAACTACTGATTAAGGAACCTGAAAAAACAAAAATCATAATAGCTATTCTCATATAAACTCGGTCTCAAAGGATTGAAGTTTGATTTGTTCGTTTAATTTAAGGATATAAGAAAGAATTTATTTACCACACTTACAATAAACCACGAAGGGTCTAATTTACTAATAGAATGTCATATTATATATTTTCATTTATGCGATATCAAGATTTGTCAATGCCTGTTAAATCGAATTTCTCGTTTGATTGGGGTTAGTAAACAGTTTTTTTTAATACACGTTGAATAGACAGGTGATGAACAAGGCTGAGGTGTTCAAGACTCACCTGAAGACTTGGCTAGTAAAGAAATCTGTGTTGGTGAAGAGATCGTGTAGCTGCTCCGTGGTGGCAGTGGTGGGAGGACAGGTGATGCTGATCTCTCCCGCACCAGAGCCGGAGTTACCCACACACTGCGTACACACGGTGGCACACATTAGCATACGTTGGGAGAGTTGTACACACACACGCCATTGTATATTGAAGCTTCACGCAGGATATATTATTCAGAGGTACAAATTATCATGAAATATATCAACCTGAAAAAAGCTATTTACCTGTAAAGTCAATTACTCGTGTTCAAGTAAACGATCACCTGGTGAATACAATCCACTCAGGCTGATACAACCTCTCTCGTGTGCCACAATTTTCAGAACGCTTAAGTGACTTCAACTCTGATCCAATATGTGTCATTCAGGGGTCAACATACATATGTGTCGCTCAAGGGTCAACTTACATCGTTAATGAGCAAAGATCTGAGAAATCCTTGATAAATTGGTATCAAATATGTCACCTACCTAATTATTATTACCTTCTGTAATTAACCGATTAATACCTGGTTAAGCTTTACAAATGGTATATTGCCTTGTAAGAGGAAGTGATATTTTTTATTGGTCAACCTGGGGATTAACCCCCAGTTTATTTCAGCTTATGATTAATCCCCAGCTTATCTCACCTGAGGATTAACCCCAGCTTATTTCACTAAGATTAACCCCGAGCTTATTTTACCTTAATATTAACCACCCTAATTGTAGCTTAACTTAACCTAATGCTAACTTAAGTCAACCTAATGCTAATCTGACCTGACCTAATCTAATCTAACGTTCACTTAACCTATCCTAACCCAATACTAATCTAACCTAACTTAACCAAACCTCTCAGAAAGCATTAAGGTGTTTTAAGTTGATGTGGTCGAATTGTTAGTTGATCCATTTTATTTACGAGGTTCATCATATCTGTACTTGTCTATCCACTACTTCGGCCAATATAGAACTAGAGAAACATCAACAAGACCTTAGTTGTTGTGGCGTAGGAATACATCAACAGGTAGGGAAGACTCAAACACTGAGAACAACACACATACTCCACAAGAAACACTTCAAGTAGAAAATCGATAACTTAAGAGAGTCCATAAGCTTGGAGTTGTACACGTGTTCTCGATAACATCTTCCCGGGGAGAGAACCTGGACTTAAAAATTTTTATTCTCAGGTAATGTTAGAGGTCAAGATAACACCAAGAGTCTCCGTCACTAAGTACAGGTTAGACAAGAGTGACATAAGTTGCTATCAGTGTTACCTTATCAATCAGTCACTTGGATGAATAGATTATAAGGTTATCACGAATTCAGGATCATTTTAGCTTTAAAGTATCAACAATTTGTTCGACTTTTATTTTATGAGGAAGGGTTAAAACCTTTTGTTAATCCCTTATCACTAAAACACACTAACGAGACTTTTATTAAACAGGTGTAGAGTTATTGTCTCAAGAACCTGAATGGTCTTAATGATGTCTTACCTGCTCTGAGAATCCTAGCCTCGATGTCTGGTCATTTACCACATGGTGTGAAGACATGAGTTGTGTGAACCACCTGAAGATTAACACCCCAGCAATTGACCATTATATACCCTAACGCTATATTTAGGAGGTTAGGTTAGGTTAGGTTAGGTTAGGTTAGGTTAGTGTAGTTCATCTTCAGATAAAATAAGCTCGAGTATCTATCTTCAACTGATCACTAGTTTTTATTTTATTATTTATTTGTTTGTCTGGGGCCTTGCGTTTCTTTGTTGGGTGTCGGTATATCTGACACCTATAACATCTCCTCGGTCTTGGTATATAGTGTTTCTGTGTCCCATCCCAGTGTACCTGTCTCTGGTAGTTAGCGGAAGAATCCAACCACAGCGAAGGTGGAGTCCCCGTCGGATGTTGTGAGTTTACGTTCGACGACGAGTTCTTCTCCTTGTAACTCCTACAGCTCTTTCTTGCTCATGTGTTCTATCTCGATGTGGGCGATAACTCCTCACACTGAGTTGTTATTGAATTTGATGTCCACCTGAACGGGGACGACATTGATGACTTTCAGGCTGTCTGTCACCAGTCACCTAACTTAACCATAAGGCCACCACTCGCCGGCGGACAACCTTAGTCACCCCCTCTATACTTGAAAGAATAAAAAACCTCTACAGGACGAGGGGGTTTAGCTATTAAGGATGGGTGGAAGCTGGAGGATAGAGCCTCACAATTTCCACGTCTTCCCAGTTGACTAGCATGTCTGCTCTCGGTCTGACTTGTCTCTGTGTCTCGTGAAGGAATCCTTTCCACCAACTATAGATTCATTCATAAGTTTACTTTAGTATTGCGACTCTGCCACATATATGCAAACGTCACCACAGGGGGCAAAGGATCTTTTTGTGACAGCTGTACAGACATTATGTAATACCTATGCGAGGAAAATCAGGTGAGCCCAGGTGAAGTATACAACAAAATCGGTGTATAATAAGGAAAGGCGTGAAAATAATATTTTAAACTATAACCACATTAGTAAATAAGCACACGGAGGAGACTGTTGTGTGTAATCATCAATGTGTGAGACAACAGCAATAAATATTTAATGAAATATGATATGGACTAACATAATTAAATAGTACAAACACTAAGTGTCCACCTTCTGATTCTGGCTAAAAACACCTTAATAATAATTTTTAAAAGTTTCAAGCCGAATTATAAAGTTGTATTGTCAGCCCGCCATTTATCTATGTACGTTAACTGAAAAAATCTGCTGTTTTATGATGTGGCCTATGGGTAGGTAGACCTCAACGGGCGCTTATAGTACACTATAATGAAATTATAAATTAAATTAGTTATCCTTCAAATTACTAAATTTTCTATTCTGTACCAGACTTGTTTGAACTAAAGAAAATGTAAATTATTGGGGATACTTAAGTAATATATGGAAATGCCACATTAATTGGAGTTTCCTAACGAGAAATGGGATGTATGTTTATAGTTTTCATTATTATTTTATCTTGGAGCCAATCCCCGGCCGGGTCAGATGTGGGAAGAGTGTTATAGTCTGACCCTTGTCCTACCAAACATCGCAGGTTTTCCTCCTGTACTAACACCGGGCATTGAAGGTGGTAACAAAGAACAGACTGACTGCCTGAATGGCTAGCAAACTGACAAGTGGTGGAAATAATGACAGAAATTTGAAGAAAAGTAACACAAAAAAGTTGGGGAATTAAACACTAATTTTGAAATATATAATAATTCAGTTTTATAAGGAAAAATAATGGACACTATATCTTGACGCGGCGCTGCACTCTACCCTAACTACTGTATATGACCACTCAGATGACCTGGAGATGTGAAGAAAAAAATAGTGTAGAAAACAGATAGGGAAATTCAGATCACCTGAAAATTCTCCCCCAGCTTAACTTGTCCTAATATTAACCACCCAAGGTAGCGATGAGTTGGTTAATGCTTCAGGGGATCCGAAAACTTTATTGGATACATTAACCCAATATTCAATTTGAACTTACTGAGAACCTGATAGGAAATGATATTAATATATGGATGTTTTGTTAGGATGTTTGTATCCTCACGAGTGAGCTGTAACACACTATTCTTCAACGAGAGCTGCAGATTAAACAATAATGGAATCTCCAAAACGACTTGACTGTAAAATCTCAAAAATGTGAAACACAACGTACGGTACAAGGAGAGAGCGGGTTCTTATCGTCGACGGTGACAGGACATAGATCACAGACAAAGGGTGGGGCGGTGCCTCTGGCCGAAGGTTTTCCTGGCGCACCGTTACACGAGAAGTAGTTTGTCAGAGGTGGACGATAGTCTAGCTCCTGCTGTAATGTCCGGCTTGTCCGGCCGTTGTGCAGATTTCCACTCACTGCGTTGGTAATTGAGGGCCTCAGTAGGTAGGTATCAGGAGAATAGCCACTAGATGCAGTTACAGTTTCAAAACCTGACGTTCTCTTCCCTGCCTTCCGTAGCCTCCTAAATATTGCATCGCGGGTCCGAAGTTGCACTGCAGCCTCGTCTTGGCTGCGCATATGAAGATGTTCACTTGCTAGGCTAGATCGTTCAGTTTGTATGCCTTGAGCAGTTTTAGGATTTTCTGTATAAAGATTGTCTGTTCTATATATAGTATTTGAGTCAGTATTTATGCTACTAAGTTCGATTGACTTATCATCTTTGTAATTTATTTGATAATTTACGCCAGAGTGTGTGTGCGTGACCATTTGTCTGGCCTCAAGAACACACTGGAGGACACTCGGGCTCACCGCACACAACAACAAACACCTTACCAGAAACATAATCCCGAATCAGTGATAAACGACAGTAAGAGTCGTGAAGTTTTTTCAATTATTCTAAGCAGTTATTTATCTTTTTATGGCCACTCGTTGAGTCCGATTGTAATGAATTTCACTTCAAAACTCATTCTTGTTATGGTTCGACAACTGCTTGGCATCTACAATCACCAGCAATATATGGCAGTTTAGGTCCTTGGTAGAGTGATTATGGTAAGGGATAGAGGTGTCTGGGTGAAGCGGTAGTGAAGGGAAGACTTATCACCACTGGCCAGGTGAGTATAAATGAGACGCCTTGCTCTACGATTCTCGTCTTGTAGGAGAGGCCGCCACCATCGGTTAGGTTGCAATCTCTCTCCGGCTGATGTATTTACTTAGAATTCTGTTTTGTATCTTGATATGCTACGATTTTAAAGACAGAAGTAAGAAAACAAAAACAAAATAAGGTTAAGTTTAATTGGATAAAGGAATGGAAATAATGAATGAATAGACTTAGTGGATGAAGAATTTGCGGTGTAACCGTTTAACCATCGTCATTGTGACAAATATATCGTCTTCAGTACAGCCTTCCTGCCCACTACACGTCTCACCATGATAACAAATATTCGTTTGGTTGCGTCATTCCTTGTGAATATCAAGGTTTAAAATGACGATTATTTTATCAGTATAGATTTTTTATTTTGATGAATTTGGACGTTTATGCTTTACTACCGAATGGCTGGAAACATTTTCTTATTGAGCTCAATGTCTTACCCTTGTCTTAGGTTTTCCTCGGAGATTTTTACACAAATTGAGTTTAATTTCACAAGAATTACTTTTTCTATTAGAAATTACATGTTCCGTATCTTTAGTTATTGATGACAGAAGCGCATTATCGCAGTCTATAAATACTCGCCTTCAGAGGGCGCTGTAATCACGCACATTCCTTTCATGAGCCGTCAGCGCGCGGGCATCACCCGGTGCATCCACCTCTTTCATATTTACCGCCTGGTTGAGTTATCGAAGTAGCCATGTACAATAAATATTTTTTATGTGTTCTAACGCAAGTTGTTGATGCTGTATTACTGTACTTCAGCAACTTAAGTTGTTAAGTGTGTGTTTTAGGTTTGTACAGTCTCGTTCAAGATTCTTCGAACACTGCAGGAGACAGCTGGCAACTCAATGTCCTTTTGTTTACTATAGTACGTCGTAAAAATTATGAATAAATGTAAAAGTGATCGGTTACTTAGTTCCCCGTTGTTTAATTTAATGGTTGGGCTTTGTTGTTTCGCACTATATTATACTACGTACTATAGTAAACAAACGGCCTTGAGTTGCCAGCTGTCTCCAGCAGTGTTCGAAGAATCTTGAAAGAGGCTGTACAGTGTACAGTCCCCTCCACTAGCGCGTTTACAGGGGTTCGTCATATAAGCATTCCAGAAATCATTATCTTTGAGATGTTTGTTTCAATATTGTTTTAATTTGATTCCATAGTATGTTTACTATTGCGAGTTTCCTTCTGTTGAATGTAAACAAACACAACGCTGCCACATTGCACAAAATCTGACGAGCCCCTGTAAACGCACGAGTGAAGGGGACTGTACCTCACCAATCAACAGTTAAATTGATGACTCTCTCCTAGTCGCTGTGAATGTATGTCTTGTAACCATCACCTGAAGCTCTGGATCCTGGTTCTCTAAGGTTCGAACGATAATTGATACTCATAACATTACGCCGAAGCTTGACCTTAACTTGGTACGATCACTTAACCTCAGACAACATTATTGTAGATAATTCGTCCTAGGAAACTGTCCGGTGATTTTATACCAAATGTGTGAACATAACCAGTTAAGGAACAGCCTAGGTGAAAATAAGTGTAATTTTTGGTAGTTTTGTATTTTTGCTTAGGTTAACCAATTAAGTGATAGATTTACTGTACATGGAACATTGATGGTATCACTACAAACTCAGGCTTGGACAATCAAGGTCAACTTCAGCATCATCACGAACGAAGTAGATAATGCACTTTGCATGTTTGTCCAAATCTTCGGTGAACAAAAACAAAATTTTTTTTTGTTTATTTAAGGAGATAAACATGAGAGTTTTCTTCCTTGTTAACATGTGTTCAGGGAAAGATAAGCTTCAGGTCGCGTTTCTTCCACTTTACGTCAGCCAGAAGTAACCGAGTCAGGAAAATGGTTTAAAAAATACAGAAAACGTGAATTTCAACAACACCAAGTTTAAGTCTTTGCTTTGTGCGATACAAGAGAATATTCATAGTGAGTTATATTAATAAGGAGGTGTGTACACCCCTGAACTGACGAAGAGATACTGGAGAACCGTGTTTAGTAGTTGGATATTGAAGGTTAGAGACTCGCCGCACCTGGCAAGCCTCGCCCTTGGGACAACTGGGAATCCCAAGTTAGACCGGGCCATGTGGTTCACGGCGCGTCCACCTGGCATACACCTCCAATGTGGACACTCAGGTCATATTGACTTTATCCAGACCTTTCTCGCTGAATGAATGCGAAGGTGATGTGGGCCCAGATAATATGTATGAAGCAACCCAAGATTTACCTCGACAGCAATCATAGTCTACAGTATATCAACACCACCTGAGTCAAACAGGCTTCAGGATCTCGTAGACTACACCAGCTCCTCTAAACCTAGAATGCACGTCACACGGCCAGCTTCTGGTAATGATTCCAGTTTAGACATCCTTGATAAGCTAATAAAAAGCATTAGATTTGAAGAAACTGGCATCGCATGATTACTGGTAGTTAGGTGTATCGTCTTGCGGTGCCCAGCCAAGGCGTGAGAGGAGAAAATTTCCCCATAGACCTGCCCAGTGAAGTGCCTAGTAGAGAAAGAGTGAGGAAGACAGGAAGAAATGCCAAGTTCCATCGTCAACATGACCTCAACTGATACTGTTCACCGCTACAGACTCGAGCCTCAGGGCTATCATGAGGTTGACTTCAAGTATTCTATCTTTGGCACTGGGTATACCAAGTTCTTTCCTCATATTAAGTACTTTAGTGCTCATGGGACATCCTAGGATAATTCTGAGGGCTTTATTTTGCATTTCTTCGAGCTTGTCAACGCCTTTCCCTTCACGAAGGACGGGAAAGGCATAGGTAATTTATCAGAGATCTTATATAGCCTAGATACATTGTTTTAACAATTCTAATAGTATCACCATAATGTGGGCTGTACCCCGCTACACTTCTAAGAGGTTTCAGTCTCAGTGCATTGGCGGGTTAGCTGTTGTATGGCAGGTAAGGTCAGTCTCGTTCAAGGTTCTTCAAACACTGCTGGAGACAGCTGGCAACTCAAGGCCGTTTGTTTACTGTATTACGTAGTATAATATAATACGTAACAACAAAACCCAACAATTAATTAAGCAACAGAGAACTACGTAACCAATCACCGAGAACCTTTTACATTCATTTATAATTTTTACTAGGCACTATAGTAAACAAACGGCCTTGAGTTGTCAGCTGTCTCCAGCAGTGTTTGAAGAACCTTGAACGATACTGTACAAGGGACGGAGACACCAAGATATTTAAAGGAAGACACATAGTCAATAGTGTTGTTACCTATCTTGAACTTGGCGGGGCCGCGTTTGCGGTTACCAGCTTGTTTGTTGAACACCTTAGTTTTCTCAGTGGAAGTAACAAGACCAAGGTTCTCACAGGCTGCGTATACATGGTTCAGGGTGGTTTGCATTCCACGATGAGTTTTAGGATGTATAAGAATATCATCAGCATAGCTAATTGTGATATTACTGGGGTTGTCTGGTATTAAATTTAATAATACATTCATCCACAACACGTTTTACGTTCCCACACTACAGTACTTCCTGGTCATGTTGTATATTTTTTTATCACGGTACACATAAAAGCCTCATTAGTTACACGAGTCAGTCCTTACTGCACTCCAGATGATCAGGACAAGATGCGAAGAGGCTACCCAATACGAGCCCATGTAACGTAATGTGGCGGGAAGCAACATTCACCCTTTGGACTGTTGCCTCCAAGAGTGAGGTTTAATCAAATAAAACTAAACACACGAAGTAAAATACAATATAGTCAGTATAATTTTTATTTTTCTTAAAGTGTGTTTATCACTAGTGCCGTTTATTATGGAATACCAGGAACTCTATATTGAAGTAATCATAACTTGTTCACCATAGCTTAACAAATCCTGTCCATCAACAAACAGTTAAAGTGATGATGAAGGAGAGAGACTTTTCTCTGATTCCTAAAAAAAAAAATCAACAAATGCATCTTGAACTTATTATACACAACCAGTCAATACAATTTACCTTAATGAATTTAACATTTATTCATAACTACAATACATGAGAGAAATATTCATAATTACATTTTTATTATTGGTTGTATGCCTAAACTGTCTATGTACATTATTTGTATACCTGTATTATCTATATACATTCAGAATCAATGTGAGTTTGGATTACGATTTTACTGAGAAAAATCTATATTATATACTTAATAGTTATGTTAATCACAGTAAACAATTGAGATCTGTTTACAATGTCTTTAAGGGCGTCGTGTGAAGAGATATAACATACAGATATACCTATGGACCCAATCTGTAGGGGAGGAACGTTAAGAAAAAGGTTAAACTCCATCTTCAATCTCTGTGGGTATTGAAGCATCACACAAACCTTGAGACGCCCTTTATCATAGTTCTTCGTTTAGTGTCAGACATTAGAAACATCTATTTAACGAAGACAAATTCTGACCTTTGTTCTTTGTAATGTTAACTATCATTTGAACAAAGTCTTCTGGTTATTTACTACGGTTTAAAAACACCCAAAACAAATTGTGACTGATTATCTAACTTTGAGTGGAAATTCTGAAAGTTCTTGTATAGAATCTCATGGCTTGGACGGGTTGAGTTTGGGATGCCTCCTAGACACTGGGTGTGGGTCGGAGGGGTGGTGTTCAGCTGCCATGGGTGAAGGTGTGGTTAACGAACAGTCGGCAGTGAGGGTGTCCACAGGGCTGTTGTTGATATTCGGGCAGCGGAAGTTATCGAAGCTGTTAGTGAAGGTCTTATTCGCGACGATCCAACAGAATCCGATGTTACAGACAAATGGATTACCTGCAAGAGACACAAACTCATATTTCATTCTTCCTTCCAAAAGTAAATGGACTCGGGGAATTTCTGTGATTCTTAGATTAATGTTATACTTGAACTTCTCCCATACACTACGACATGATGATGAATACTAAGAGAGAATCACCTGAAGATTGAGACCCCTCAGCTTATATCACCTGAAGATTAACCGAACCTAACCTAACCTCACCTAACCTCACCTAACCTCACCTAACCTCACCTCACCTAACCTAACCTAACCTAACCTCCATAGGAAGTATTATCTCCCCTCTCCCTATTCCCTTCTTTATCACCCCTCTCTCTCTCTCTTCCACCCTTATTCTAACTCCTTCCACTTCCCCAACTCCTCACATCACCTTTATAATCTTAATAGTTGTGTAATACCACTTATCAGTCAACAGCTTGAGGCACCTCTCATATTTACCCTTAGTCCTTGATAACACCATGAGCTCGACGCAAAAAACTGTACAACGTTTAGGAAATATGAGAGTTGTTAGCGCGGACCTAGCAACTGGGGTCACCTACTTTCACACTCTTCTTTTACTTGCTTATGTCATGATTAAGATTAACCTTCTTTTTTAACTTAGCCTAAAGTATCTTAATCTAACTTCATCTAAGCTAACCCAATTGATAGCTTAATCTAACCTAACCTAAGGTAATGTAACATCCCCTCGCTTGCTGTCTGCCAGTATCTAGAAGACCTTGTGTGACAGAGGCGACAATCAGCACCCCTCTACTGCCTCTCTCTTGCTTTAACTTGTTTCCAGAACACCAGGTGACGCCACTAGGGGGAATCAATCACAATTTAGAATCGAAAGCCAATATAGGTAACGTGATTAAACTGGTCCAGGTCAATATAATTTCGCTTCAGGTGAACAGTGTGGCTTCAATATTCAGTAAACTCTATTACGCACTCTTCTCCTGTCCTAAAAGTCGCTGGTTTGTGTCTACGTCACTCCTAGCGATCCAACTGTGAATGGGTACTTAATTTTTACATTTTGGTGAATGTCGGTGGTCGAGTACAGTTCTGGTTGCAATTCCTCTTAGTGTAGCGAGGAATGGTTTAGTATTTGTGGTGTTTTATCCACATAACCAACATGATTTAATTTTACACGCCAAACCTTACTCATTTTACGCCAGACTATGTCATATCTTACGCCAAAATCAACTTATTTTTTACGCCCTAAAACCAACTTATAATACGTCAAAATTATTCTATTTATTCTATGTCAGATATTATGTATTTATATTATGCCAAACTTTATTTATACCTCTTCAAATCCTACAAATTTAACAGCTAAACTTACCAACTTCACGGGAAAAAAACTAATCCATATCAAACTCGATTCATTTTCCGCTACGTAAAAACTCAGTCATATCCATATTACAATTCTCACTAATTTACTTACTATTTTACTAGTTAAGTTCACCTCACTTTAACGCTGTACAATGTTTCCTCAACACGGTTATATATTAGAGAGGAGTCAATTACCTGAGCCCCAGAAGTACCTTACCTTAGCCCCAGAAGTACCTTACCTGAGCCCCAGAAGTGCCTTACCTGAGCCCCAGAAGTGCCTTACCTGTGACCCAGAAGTACCTTACCTGAGAAGAAGTGCCTTACCTACCTGTGCCTTACCTGGGCCCCAGAAGTAGTGCCTTACCTGAGCCCAGAGTGCCTTACCTGAGCCCCAGACCTGAGTAGTGCCTTACCTGAGCCCCCAAGAGCCTTACTACCTTAGGCCCCAGAGTGCCTTACCTGGGCCTCAGAGGTACCTGAGCCCCAGAGTACCTTACCTGAGCCCAGAAGTACCTTGCCTTACCTGAGCCTCAGAAGTACCTTACCTGTGACCCAGAAGTACCTTACCTGAGCCCCAGAAGTACCTTACCTGAGCCCCAGAAGTACCTTACCTGAGCCTCAGAAGTACCTTATCTGAGCCCCAGAAGTACCTTACCTGAGCCCCAGAAGTACCTTACCTGAGCCTCAGAAGTGCCTTACCTGAGACCCAGAAGTACCTTACTTGAGCCTCAGAAGTGCCTTACCTGTGACCCAGAAGTGTGAGTAGCCCCCGGACACGTCTATGAGAGGCCTGAACACCTTCTCGTTGAGGGTAATAAGCTGGTTATGTTGTAGGTGGATGGCTGCTACTCTGACCCCTGCCATCACTCCAGCCCTGTACAGCAACACACACACACACACACACACACACACACATGCATGAGAAACACAATTACACACAGGTATATATACAGTTCATACACACACACACACACACACACACAGGAAAGAAAGAGTTAGTTAGTAGATGGTATTGATAAAGGATCACCTGAAGATTAGACACCCCAGGTTATTTTAATGATTAACTACCCATAACGTTACCCTACCCTTACCCTACCCTACCCTACCCTACCCTACCCTACCCTACCCTACCCAACCCTCACCTACCCTACCCTACCCTACCCTACCCTACCCTACCCTACCCCACCCCAACAGGTATCAATAGGGTGGGAAAAATCATCAGATGAAATAAACTGGGAGGGGTGGTCTAATCTTCAGGTAATCCAACTTAGATTAAAAAAAATAATTAGATACACTATTGTCAATATTACAATACACACTCGTCAACAACTATGGTCCTTAAATAATCTTATCATAATTAACCACCAATAATCAGTAACTAAAAAGAGATGTATTTCATTTTTCTGGATAATTTGGCCAAAAATCTCACTCACTCGACTGTGGAGATCTGGTTGTGAGAAAGATCTATGGAAACCGGAGGTGTGCCGTGGTTAGGAATGCTCAGTGCGTCCTTGTGTAGTTTGGTGATGCTGTTATACGAAAGATCCAACAACTCCAAGCTTGGTAGACCTGTTAACCACACGCACACACACACACACACACACACACACACACACACACACACACACAGATGAAGAGTTTGGTAAATCTATGATGGGTATCGTTGTATATTTTATAACAGTAATATTTGCATTTTTTCGTCAGGGGTTTGATGCTGTGGAGACCAATTGGATTTCGAGTAAATTGTTATGTCTGTCTGTCTGTCTGTCTGTCTGTCTGTCTGTCAACTCACCAGCAAAGGTAAAAGGTTCAATCTCATAGAGCCAATTGCTGGAGAAGGTAAGTTTCCTGAGATACTTGAGCACCATGATGGAATACCCAGGGATGAACCTTATGTTGTTGTTGTCCATGTGGAGGCCCTCAAGGTACGGCTGGTCACTTAGTGTAGGGAAGAAGATATTGCTAATGGAGTTCTGACCTGCAAGAGGAGAGACGCGTACTGTGTTGGTTAGGTTAGGTTGGGTTGGTTTAGGTTAAGTTGGGTAAAGTTGGGTTGGGTTAGGTTGGGTTAGGTTGGGTTAGGTTGGGTTGGGTAAGGTTGGGTTGGGTTGGGTTGGGTTAGGTTAGGTTAGGTTGGGTTAGGTTGGAAGGTTGGGTTGGGTTGGGTTAGGTTGGGTTGGGTTGGGTTAGGTTGGGTTAGGTTGGGTTGGGTTGGGCTAGGTTTAGGTAAGGTTGGGTTGGGTTGGGTTGGGTTAGGTTGGGTTAGGTTGGGTTGGCTTGGGTTGGGTAACGTTGGGTAAGGTTGGGTTGGTTTAGGTTAAGCTGGGTAAGGTTGGGTTGGGTTGGGTTGGGTTGGGTTGGGTTAGGTATGTTAGGGTAGGATAGTTAAGTCATGCCAATTGAACTTTTATGTTATAGTTGTATTTTATTGATGTAAATAAAGTCTGTCAATTTATTATTTTTATTTATTAATATAAAGTTGAATTAATATTTTTTCTTGATAAAGGGAAAGATATAAACGCCTAAATAAGTGACCGATATATTTTCTAGATGAATATAAAAAAAAAAAAGCTGTTGTAAGTCCAAAGTGTCGCTGGTTCCCGCCCAGAACATTCTTGATCCACCAACAGTGACTGTGTCTGATGGCGACCGAGCTCAGCGGCGGCCAGTCTACCACTCATGTCATGTCTCTTTATTCCCAAGTCAACAACAACAATGGCGTATAATTACCAAGGTTGAGAAGTTTAAGGGTGTTGTTGAAGGGGATAAAGGCGCGATTATCAACTGTTTTGAATTCATTGTTCATGAGGATAATCTCTTGGAATTTGAGAGGTCCCCAAATGGTCTCGTCGATTTTGCATCGTAGAGCTGTTCCGTCCACCATCAGTCTGTCGATCGTAAGGTTAGGTTAGGGTAAGACAGATTGAATTTCGATAGCGTAGGTTAAGTTCGTTCATCGTTAAGTAAAATAAGCTGGCGTGTCTAGTCTACGTGTTCCAATTACATATTTTATGATTCTTTATCACTTACATTTTCTGATATTCATATCTTGTCTAGTTTACCCTAAAATAAGTTTAGTGATAGAATTTATATAGTTACAATAACAAGAAAATTGGGATAAACACGGAGTTACCACCAACAGAATGTATAGTACAGGGTGTTACAAAAGTCTGTACTCGTTTAACATTCAGAGAACACGGCATAAACTTACACACAGATATTAATTCTTACACATAAGCATCACCGATTGTTCCTCAGTTCCACCGTGTAAATTCTAATAGTCATTCAGAAAAGGTAAAGTTCTAAGACTCACCTGAGGTAGAGGGTGGTGGGGTAGGGGACGGAGCTGAGGATGTTGGTCAGCTGAGTACACGACATCAGGTCTGGTCCACAGCTCAGCTCAGCCAGGGTGGAGTTGATACACGCGCACTGTAAAACACAATAACATCTCCTGTACTGTATATAATTAACCAACAATTCCCCAATTTAAGTTAGTATTTCGAATATCTTATTAATTAAATTGTGTTTTGCGAAATTTCCTTATAAATGCCTCTGATATTCCAAAGGAAATTATTGAACGAAGTCAAAATTAATTAGCCTAGTAATTACACTTCATCCAGGGTTAATAATGCGCTTAATGTACAATTCACAAGTCATGAAACTCAATTTAAACTACGATAACAAATGACTACGACCCCTTGTAGTATAAACGCTTGCTTATTCCACAGTTGAACCATAAAACGTTATAACATAAGAATATACTGTACGTATGGTCTGAATAATCAGTATTTTAACAAGAATATAATTGTTTATATACATACATATATACTCAAAATTTCACTAGTTCTTACGATATCCAGTCGATTACCATATGCACACACACAAAGACATTCTATAGTTCCAGTGATATTGCTCGCTTTCTTGTGTCAATGATCTGCTGTCAGGAGTAACACAGCTCTAGAAATCAGTCTTTATATTGTAACATTTTTATTTAGGAATTACATATTGAACTGTCATTAATTTATTGGTAGTGGACCTTCAAATTTGAATAGTTCAATATATAGTGACTGTGAACCTCATAATGTTAGCCCTGTAGAACCAGTTAGAATGATTAGTCCTGGAAAACAGTTTAAAAAAAGACGTAGGAACATTGTTTATGAGGAATGAATGAAGCGATGTAAAGTTCCAGCTTGTAGCATGTCGGTAACTAAATGACCTTGAAGTGTGTAGACAAAACTGGGAGTGATTCACCTAAAGGCCCCTCCATAAAACTGTACCATTATAATTATGTAACTACCTACTACCAGTGGTAATAATTATAATTTATAATATTTAGTTTTAATGATTAACTAAATAGACAAGGTTAAATTACATATACTGTATAGCTGGCATATAGATTATTATTTTTTTACGTTAATTGATTCGTGTTTGAGGATGGAATTATAATTATTTTGATTAAGATTACATTTAAGCATTGATATTATAATGTGTTTTTGAGCTCCAAGAGGAAATATGTGGACACGCTGCTAATATATCTTATAATGTAACTCTTCAACAATTTACTGTGCAATAGAATACAATATCCCACAGAGCAGCGTCTCTAACCATTGATTCTACACTAGACAACACAGAGTCATAGGTTAGGTTAGGTTTTGTTGTATTACGGGTCACACAAGGCTAAGAAAAATGGTTATATTTTTTGTATGTATTTGAGGTAAAATAAAATACAAGTAACTATATTATTTTTTGTCTGGGTGTTTGTGTACCAGTTATGTTATCATTATCACAATTCCCGAGTGTTTGATAAACCATTGATACCAGCTCAAACCAGACTATTCAATATGGCCAACTCAATCAAATTATTCTCACGAAGATTAACAGAACGTCTCATAATATGTAGACACAATGTCATACAGGTTTTTGTGGAGATCTTATGAATGGCTGAATTATACGGCAACATGGACCAGGTCTCCCATAACTGAGGATAATGTTGGTGATTTAATACAAAGATTCGCGAGATCTCTAATCAGTTAATATCTGTATTGCATTGTGTATATTTAGTGCTTTGAACATTAATAGTTACTAAAAGAAAAAACATAGCTAGGTGTTTCATATGTTGATGCTAATACGGTTAATGATGTTAGATTTAGTTGAGATTAGGTTTAGATTAGGCTAGTTTGTATAGGTTTATTTAGACAAGGTTTATATGAAAATAAGTTTAGTTAGCTTAGGTTAATGTAGACACGTTAGGTAAGTAAAGTGAGGCCAGGGTAGGTTAGGTTAGGTTAATGTAGACACGTTAGGTTAGTAAAGTGAGGCCAGGGTAGGTTAGGTTAGTGTCGACAGGTTAGGTTAGGTGTAAATAAACCAAATATTATCACTAATGGTACAGGCACAAACGCTAATGCAGGACAGTGTGTATGTGCGTGTGTTTAGGTGGGTAGTTATCATACAGTTAAGGTGTCGTGGGGAGTGTCAGGTGGTTGAGGCTCACACAGACGACCCACAAGGACATTATCAAATTATCAATGAAAAAAAACCCAGACCGACAAAGAAATCGAACGCTGCTTTTGTCCTGTAGATGTTGTACGCTGTGGCTCCTGTTTACTTTTTTACTCCAGCTGTCAGTCGTATGCTAAAGCTGGTAAGACTTTGTTGATGGAATGAAGACAGTAAGCGATAAAGAATGAAGTTAAAGAGTAAAAAGGTGTAAAAAGCAAGAGTTGGTAAGCATAGAGGAGTAAGAAAAATGAGAGAATGATAGTGGAATGATGGAGAAGAATGATGCAAGTAGGTATGAAATTTAGTGACGGTGGTGGTGGACTGTAGAAGGAAGAGGACAAGTGTGGGTGGGTTGTGGTAGAAGAATGTGGGTTTGTAAGTGGTGGAGGTGGGTGGGTGGATGGGCGGACAGGTGCAGGGCTCCCACACTTATCACCTGTGAGAGACAACACCTGCAGGAGCCCGGTGTGTGTGTGTGTGTGTGTCTATCTTTCCCCTTCACCGGTGTCTTTTGATTTATTGAGTACCTACACATTCCTCCCTTCCTCTCGTGGTGCTGTGGCTAATGAATGCCTTGCTACCATCCCCTGGTGGTGTTCGTGGTTTAGTGTGGTAAGGAAGGGTTTAAACGCTTCCCTGTGGTGGTAGGTAAGTGTTGACACTGTGTCGTTGTCATCCTGCGGTGGAAATATATGTTTGAAAAAAAAATAACACGAACCCTGACGATAGTGTCATTGTGAAATTGATATCCTTTAACTTAATCTCGTCTAGTAGCTACAGACAGGTTTGTTGTGACGGAAAGTTTATTAACTCTCGTCTAAGGGGAGACCAACCAACAAACCCCGACAACCCAAAAGCTTAGAGGAATCTGTAAAGTCTTCTTGTTTCTATCCTCTAATGCCACTTTCCCTGTGTAAAAAGTCAGCTTCAAACAGCTAAGTCCGTGGAGCAAATATCTAATATACTATAAGACTAGCCGTGTGTCTGTCTGTCTGTTCTGGGCAGCCGAAACGGCACAATCGTTTCTCATCAAACTTGGTGGAAAAATCGCAAAAAAAAAATCGTAGAGTGAACAAACATGATCCCATGTCGATGGTTTTCTTTAGGAAGGCATTAATTAACCATTTTATTTACGATGGAAAACGATGAAAGTCTACGGACTTGGCGCACCCTCATTCGCTGCACGCTAGCCGAGCGTTCAAACTTTCACTGGGCACGAAGGTGCCCGCGATCACTTGTTATAGAATATAGACTATAGTAGTAAATTCACTGATCATCAACTATAAGAATTTAAAGAGATTCGTTTCTCTCGTTCCCATACTTCCCAACCGTCATTCCAACAGACGAGGTCGCTATCGGGGGTGAGAGCTACAGTACTTCTTCACCACCTTCGTTGTTGTGTGTAGAACTGTTCTGTCACATCCATTACGCTTTAGAGGGTGTAGAGGTGTTGTGGGCTCGTGGCATGTTAAAAGTCTTACCCTCGCTACATCACCACCTAGTGTGTGTGCTACAACGTGTAATATCGCCAGCTCCCTCACCAAGTATTCCAAATAAAATGTTATGGAGTTTTTAAACGAAAGTGACTTAAAAAACTCTAGAAACAACTACATCTATTAAAACAAATTTGTGGGTGTTTGAGTGCGTGTTTATGAGTAGATATAAGTGTTTTTTGTATAGATATAATTATTAAGTAAGGCATTATCAGGAAGGTTGTTCGTTCACGTCGATCCATGTTTGAACAATGTGAGGCAATGATTGCTGACGGCGGGTTACCATAACTTAGGCTGATTTTCTTCACGTTGTCTTCTATTTATGTACTGTAATCACCAGTTGTATTAATAAACTATATCCATTAATTTACTGTTCATGGTAACACGGTGCAGGCGGATCTCTCGAGGATCAACCTAACATGGTGCGAGGCGACCCCATGACACCAACCAGGATATAGAGCTCTTGTGTAACTTACTGGTATGAGTTTATCGGATATGTTTTCCTTGATGTATTAAAAAAGTTTCAAGTAATTCACAGAAGTCAATTTCAACAAAGTTATGTTTTTATTATTATTATAACTGGAAAATATAAAACGTACTTTACAATGTAATATTTTGTAACTGAAAGAAATATCAAATTTTATTACTTATATCTCAACCAAAACAGTTTTATATATATTTTCCTATTCAACAAACGTACAGTAACCACCCTTTACCTCCATCAGTATACACGAGTGAACTATAATACATTACTGCATTTAGTATCAACACAGAATTTAATAAAACAAAATCCTATCATATACATGTCAACTTGTGCTTTAATCTTTATTAGTTAACAGAATAACATCTAGGGCAACGGTATGAAGAATAGTGTACAACAGAACTACTGAACGTAACAGTGAAGCGACGAACAGTGCGAGTTTACAGTACTGTGGACCACAAACGAAAGCAGCAGACGCGATGGTATTATTTATGAGTACAGTATTATTTATGTGAGTACAGTACAAGTGTAAGTTATACTGTACCAATAGATTAGTTGTTGTTTTTTGTTATGGCTGTTATCATTATTACCTGCACGGTTTATTTTCAGAGTAAAAATCATGAAATATTTATAATTATAAATTTCACAACGGTGGAGGAAGAGCTGAACCAATATAGTCCTTGGTTGCAGAGTCTATCCTTTTGGGATTTTGCCCCCCCCCTTCCCTCATTAGCATTCAAGTTCGTATAGGCCTAAGTAATTTATTTAAGGATATTTGAATTTCATTGCACACTATCACACACACTATATATATCGGCCTAATTTGCATGGACGAGAACGAACAATAAATAACAGTAAACATTGTTGTAATACATCACATATGATTATTGACAGTTGTATGGAAATTGCACAATATCATATTTTTGTAAATTTACCATAAAAAATGACACGCTTCATCGGCCCAATTGTAAGCCCGGGTTATTTTGAAAAACATTTACCGTTTCTAGGTCTTGTAAAAATGTAAATGCGTATGGGTAAGGTATAATGCCAGGAACATGGGTATGGGTAAGGAATAGTGCCAGGGAGATGGATATGGATAAGGTATAGTGCCAGGAAGATGGATAAAAGATTCTACAGTACATTTATCACTCGCTCAATTCTCGTCTTCTGGTTAAAACAAGGGCAGATAAACTAAATGACCCGTTATCTCCTCTGGCCCTAATCTGCTTTCCATTTCCTGTTTTGTTCCTTATTCTGCTTCTCTTTCAACCCCTGCCTCATCATTGTAGTCGCTTTCTTGATCATTGTCGTCGCTTTCTTGATCATTGTCGTCGCTTTCTTGATCATTGTCGTCGCTTTCTTGATCATTGTCGTCGCTTTCTTGATCATCGTCGTCTCTTGATCATCGTCGTCTCTTTCTTGAACAATTTCATTATTTTCAGCTGGACTTTCCTGACTTTAAACTATTACCTTTAAAGTGTACAGGAAGTCCCGTATAATGTCTCACTATACAACTTCACTCTACCATCTTCTGTCGACATCTTTAATTAATTCTGTAAACTTTCCCTGGAGGTCATCCCCGTGGCTCCTGGTCTATTTTTAAGTGTGCAGGATCAGGATTTAGTTGTTACAGTAGAGAACTTATTGTTGTTGTTGTGTATATAGAAATGGTCACATTCTGTAATAATTTAGAATATAAAATAATTAAGGTGTGTTCCTGGGTGACTGATTTTCTTAACACTAGTTTTTGTTGCTATGTGAGTGTGTCCTTGCTGGGTCTCGGCCTTGTACTGTGAACTAGTCAAGATGTATCATGTGGGTCGAGCAGGAGCTACTGGTGCTGTCACACTCCTATGCACTAAACACACACACACATTCTCCCGCCCTTTATCTTAATTGTCGTCATGTGGTGTGACCATACCAGACGGACATTCCTTGATAACACTTGACTGTTCTAATTATTCCCATGTAGCGGCGTCTCATGCTACAATTTATCCGTGAAGGTGTTACGTATGGTGATCCCGACCATCGTGAGTTTTAAAACATTATAGTGAATAATGACTTACAAATTCACATAAGGATGATGAAGGCCCTGGGCTGTTGCCTCTTGTGTCCTCCTTGGAGTCCGACCCTGTAACTTATATTAAAGTATTTGTGTTGGAGCAAAAAAACTAAAAAAAAAAAAAAATTACTGTTGACTTACTGTACACGGGTTGATCTCTATCGGTTTGGGACACAGACCACAGATGTTTATTCTGCCACCCACACTGCCAACTGCTACCTCCTGGACACGGCCGGTGTGGTGATGGTGTGTATTAGAGTCCTGGTTGCTGCCGGGAACCTTAACCACGGCTTTTTCCTGCTGGAGAAGCCGAGACGCGAGAGGAGGATGGACTCTGACGCCAACTTCAACACTTTGGCCTTTAAGACTGTTTCGAGGACCAGGCGGCTGATACCCTCTGCTCTCCACTGCGCTATGGCTGATAACTTGTACCAACAACAAACACAAGATCAACCTGATCAACATATTTGAGATGTCCTGTATAAAACTATTTAGTTCAGAGAGAAGAGACGGCCGTGACACGAGATGCGACCTGACCACGACGAATGAAGCCTTCAACTTGTCGTCAAGAGCGAAGTTCATTGTTTATATGGAGTGGTGTGTACTGTGTGTGGTGCTGTGGTGTTGCTGCCGGGGAAGCATAGTGGCCATTTCTAACATACCTCTGTGGTCTCTCTGCTAATCTCTCTCTCGGAGGGGCGTCACTCGCTCCCGATTACTTGACACCACGTCGAAAATCATTCTTAGTGGGCTTCCGGCAGATCACATATTTAACTTTTATCACATTAGTACTATGGGTAATTTTGGTGATTAAGATGAGGATAGGTGAGGGTGAGGCGAGAATGATATTGATGGGTGTATAAGGCGGTGTGAGAGTGAAGGCGAGCAGTGTAAGATAGGACCGCTGCGTGAGAGGTTATCAGGAGTCGGTCACCGCCTACCGGTATTGTTAAACTGTGGGAGTGTATGAACCTGCTCTCGTACTGTCCTACCCCCACCTTCCTGCCTTCCCTCCCTCCCTATTTATTTATTGTCTCTCTCGCATTACATATCTCTCTACCCTTGTTTCGCTGGGGTGAGTGAGGATGCACCGTTGGGAGAACCTTCTTTGCCAAACAGCCTTAGAAACACGTGAAAATAGGTTGGGTTAGGTTAGGTTAGCGTTAGGGTGATCAATATTTAGATGAAATAACCGTAGGGGGGCTAAACTTCAGATGAATTAATCCTTCTCTTTACTGTTGAGAAGTGAAAGTTGGCCACATAGGTCTGATGTTGTTGTTTATATGTACCTTAGATCAAATATGTAGATGCAGTAGTCAACTAGACCAAACTGTTTCAACGTTTTGGTGTCGAAATATATAAATTAGGTACTTAATTTGCATATTCTTCATTGACACACTTAAAGGGTTGGTTAATGTCGTAACTAGGCCACCAGAGAGCAACTTATGGTCAAGTTTGATATAGTGATGATAGCAGTAAACTTAAAAAAAGGACTGCGCTGTCACCCGCCGATAATTATACCGTGCGATAATTTTAGCCTCAGTAATTACGATCTACGATAATGGTTCTATGATAGGGTGATTTTTTTTTAATATATTTGGATCGCCTGAAGATTCGCCCCCCTGAGCTTCTGTTACTTTAAGATTAACCACCCGAGGCTAACCTACCCTAATCTAAATTACCCTAACCCAATCAAATCTAAACCTCATGCTAACCTAACCTACCATTAGTAAAGTGATTCTGGCGTCAATGTTTTGTCTTAGCTACTCACGGGATTTTAACAGCTAGTGTATTTGACATTATCGCCGTCGACCCCTAATAGTTTTAGTACGATAAAACCTTGAAACTTTTTACCTATTTACAAAACAGAATGTAATTAACATTTTCCCTCCATCCCATACATCCGCGCAAAAAGTTTTAATAGACTTAGTTGATCGAAATTTAAAACCAGTTTCATATCTTTTTCTTTTAATAGACTAAGATCGGTAATCAGTAAGAAATAAACTTAAGAGTAAAGCTCATAATATTGTTTATCAAGGATCAGTATTCTTGTCTTCTACCTTCTGCTTCCTCCTCTACATCATCTACTGTAGGTCCCATCTTCGTTGTGGTGTGGCAAGTGGCGGCTCCTCACCCCTCCATTATTATTTACTTATCTATGTAGTATATGAGAAGAAATAAAAGAAGGAACAATGAGTCACTTGAAGATTCGCCCCACGCACACACCTACACACACAAAACAACAACAAAAACGCATCGTCATCACTACAGAAACAACTGGCCAGCATCAACCTCTTGTGGTCGAGACAATAAGTGATATTTATCCGTGGTTGTGACTCACAACCACGGTACTCCTGAATGTGCTGCTTAAGGATCTGTTAACCAAAATTTGATATCTTGATTATAACTTGTTCAAATGGCTTTTAGAAAATGTTCAAATGATTTTTAGAATATTTTAATTACTTTTGCAATGCTAATTACTCGCCACTTATGGGTTTTCGAGGTCATTTCTTGGTGCTTGTGTATTATTCTGGATGTACTTAAATAGGTAGGCACATTAAATTTAGTTCAGAGA